GGAGCAGGCATGTGTGCGCAGTGTTTCCTTCTGGTGCAGACAGGGTTGCTCTGGGTCAGACCTGGCATCTAACAACAACAACAGCAACAACAGCATACGAGGTAGGGGAAGACACAGTGCCATCCATGACAGCTTCTCAGTGGTGACAATCAAACACTGCTTTCAATTGAGGGGAGCAGTACTCAATCATCTGGGACCTGGACTCTCCAACCTAGCGCTCTACCGAGAGTAAGAGAATACAATCATTCCACTTCCGCATCAGCCAAAATGCATGCCAAGAAGTTGATGCGCCTACAAATGGGTATGCCCCGTGACCTTCTCTCCTTGTTTAACTACGTGTACTCAACACACCCAGGAAGCTGTTCCCCACACTGCACACATGGCCGAGTAACCCCAAACCAAACTGACTGCCATGGGGTAGATCCTGTCTCATAGTGACCCTACAGGACAAGGTAGAACGAGTCCATCGGATTTCCACGTCTGCCAACCTTCACACAAGCAGACTGCCTTATCTTCTTCCTGAGGACGAGCTGTGTAACCCACGGCACCAGCGCACTCCTTACAGCCCACCAGGAGAGGCCCACACAACAGAAAGAGGGGGGTGCTTTGGACAGGGATTTTGGTGGAGGATGGTTAAGGACCCAGCTGCCAATCAAAAGATGGAGCTGATGTCAAGGAGTCCAGGCAGGAAGAGAACATTTGGAAACTGATTGTGCTAGCAATTGTACAGTACTGCTTGACGTGACGGAACTCTGGAATGATAGGATATGTGTATTAACTCCCAATTAATAATACATTTTTAAAAATTAATATGGGGTTTGATTTTAGACATAAAGTTCAAATTGTCACTCTTCATTTCTATTGGTTGCTGTGAATACTTGCTAGCTGCTTGTCTTAAGGTAGTATTCACCAAACTTTTTTTACATTATTAAATGCTATATGTAAGATTATCTAGGATATAATAGGCAAAAATAAATTTTAGTTATATTTGAAAAAAAAGGTTCATGGTTCAAACCCACCAGCAACTCCACAGGAGAGAGACCTAGTGATGTGCTCGCATAAAGATGACAGCCTGGGGACCCTCGGGGACAGTTCACCGTTGCTCTGTGGGCTAACTCCGACTTGGGGTCAGCTCGGTGACAGCCTGGGGACCCTCGGGGACAGTTCACCGTTGCTCTGTGGGCTTACTCCAACTTGGGGTCAGCTCGGTGGCAGTGAGTTTGGGGTTTGTGTGTGCATATTTGATGATACAGGATTTAAATGTGATTTTCTTCCAGATCGAGAACCGTCATGTTTACATCACTTATTGCATGTGTGAGTGCACACGTGCACACAAATGAAATAGAGCCCTGATGGAATAATGGTTACGCATTGGGCTGATAACTGCAAGGTCAGCAGTTAGGACCCACCAGCAGCAGCTCTGTGGGAGAAAGACAGGGGGCTTTCTACTCCTGTAAAGAGTTCAAAGGGGCAGTTCTATCTATGGGACTCTATAGACCACTATGAATCGGCAGCAACTTGGTGGCAGTGAGTTTGGTCTGGTTTATACATGAACTATTCCTTAATAACAGCCAAGCAATTGTTAGACCTTGACTGAGATGGTGTGCTGTGTATCTCACACAATTGACGTGTTCTCATCTCCCTTCCGGGGGAAGCACGGCTTGATGGTAGCCCACCTGGCCGCCTGGTCTGGAAGCCTGGAGATCATGCGCTTGCTCGTGAAGGCTGGTGTGGACCAGAGAGCCAAGAATCAGGTAGACGTGGGGCGGGGGAGGCGGGGAGGGGGGATCCACACCTGAACACAAGTTCTCCCCTCCCGCGCCCAAGACTGGGAGGCTCTGAGGATCCTGTGTGAGCCATCTCCCCGCTTCCCCCCGCCCCCCATTCTCTCCAGGATGGCATGAACGCCTGCACTTTGCAGCCCAGAGTAATAATAGCGTGCACATCGTCGAGTACCTCATTCAAGACCTGCAGGACCTGGACCAGCCCGATGAGGTTTGTGTGCAGGTGGGGGCACCCAGCTCTCATGCATCACCTCCCACAAAGCTCCGCTTTCTTTCTTCCTGTCTCCAGATGCTGCATCGCCATGACGGGTGGGGGTGGAGCACACCCCCGAAGGGAAGTGTTGCTGTTGGGGAGGGCAAGCCTCGATGGAGCAGGTATTTCTTTCTCCCTCTCTCTGCCTGCCTCCTGGCAGTGGTGTGACCCTATTCCTGCCCCACGCCCCCTCTAATGCCTCTGGAGCAGACTGCACAGAGAACTAGACCTCGCTGAGAGAGTCTTACAATTAAGATGGGTTTGGAGACATGTGAAATGTGAAAATCAAGCCACTAGGCCATTGGGGGGGAAAGCCTCTCTCGGTGTCTCTCCCTTGAACCCTGTAAGTCAACGGTGGGCTGATCAGTGGAAAAGGCAGACTCTCTTACATCTGTAAGCGGGGGTCCAGTGTGATGGCCAATTACCACAACCACCTGTCAGCTTGTTACACTCCGGGGACTGACTGGGAGCCTGGAAGCTACGCTAAGCCAGCAGGGCCACCCGCGGTGGACAGGTTTCAGCAGAGCTTTCAGTCTCGGACAGACGAGTCAGAAAGTGAAAAGGAGGGAGGCCCTCGAAGAGATGGGGTGGCACCAGGGCTGCCACGTGGGCTCAGGCACAGGAGGACGGAGCAGGCATGTGTGCGCAG